TATCTATTCTGACCCGTTCGAAGGGTCGGGAAGGGCATGGTAAAGGCTGCAGTTCACCGGCGGAGGCGTGTGGTGGAGATTTTCGGCACTGACATTCGGCACAAGAGCGGACGAAGTTGCAGACGAAGGTATACATACCATGCCAGTAATAACGATGTCGAAGCCTTTCGTACGTCTTGAAGACTCCTGCATGGCCACATTGTGGGTCAGCGTGGAAAGGGGAACAAATCTGCGACCTCAGGGTTCGTGGAACGACGGGCAGCCACTTGCGTCCTTCTGGTGCGTAGTTGCGTCGATAGAGAAGCGTGTCACGTATCGAAAAGTGTGGAACTTGGCGCCGGAGCGTTCGCGTCTTTGGGAGTTTCGAAGTGTCGGAGAGATGATTTAGAAGAGACGCAGTCCACGGGTAATTGCGTTGTTCAATGGCAATGGTGTCAAAGTCAAGAGATGACAACGTGGAATCGCAAGCGGAGTAAGCTGTAGCATTCTGGAACAGGGGGGAACGGGAAAAGGCGTCTGCGTCAGCATGCTTCCGTTCTGACCGATAAACCACGCGTATGTCACAATCTTGAATTTTCAACGCCCAGCGAGCGAGGCGGCCAGATGGGTCTCTTATTGAATTTTCAACGCCCAGCGAGCGAGGCGGCCAGATGGGTCTCTTAATGTCAAAAGCCAGCACAGTGCGTGGTGGTAGGTCATGACGTCAAAAGAACGACCATATAGGTATGGCCGAAACTTTCCAAGGGCCCACACAATGGCCAAGCACTCCTTTTCTGTGACGCTGTAGTTGCTCTCAGCCTTGGTAAGTGTGCGACTAGCGTATGCCACGACGTATTCCTGATACTCCGGTTTACGCTGTACAGCACCCAGGCCACACCACTGGCGTCGGTGTGGATTTCAGTTGGAGCTTCAGGATTGAAATGGCGTAGAATGGGTGGCGTCGTGAGAAGCCATCACAAGATGGTGATAGCATCGTTGCAGGCAGGGGACCATGATAAGAGGTCTTTACAGTTGCTGAGAAGTTGCGTGAGAGGTGATATAATAGACGTGAAGTTTCGGATGAATCGCCGGAAATACGAACACAAGCCGATAAAACTTCGAAGTACTTTGATGGTGGCAGGTTTAGGAAACGCCGTAACAGCTTGCGATTTCTCGGAATCCGGGAGAATGCCTTCCTTGGAAACAACGTGGCCCAAAATGTTCAGTTGACGCATGCCAAATCGACATTTTTTTAGGTTTAATTCCAAACCGGCGTTAGTCAAGCAAGTAAGGACGTACTAAAGGCGACATAAGTGGGTGTCAAAGTTAGGGGCGAAGACCATGACATCATCGAGGTAACACAAGCATATCTTCCATTTTAGTCCCCGCAGGATGTTGTCCATCATTCGTTCGAACGTTGCAGGTGCATTGCTAAGTCCGAAGGGCAGGACGGTGAATTCATATAAGCCATCTGGCGTGACAAAAGCGGTTTTGGGGCGATCGGCCTCCGCCAAAGGCACCTGCCAGTGGCACCTCCGCCAAAGGCACCTGACCGCAAGTCTAACGAGAAAAACCTCGGCACCCTGTAAACTGTCCAAAGCATCGTCTATGCGCGGTAGTGGATAGACATCCTTCAGCGTGATCTTGTTCAATCGCCGGAAATCGACACAGAAACGAATAGAACCGTCTTTCTTTTTGACGAGGACCACCGGAGACGCCCATGGGCTCTGTGAAGGTTGAATGACGCCTCTGCGAAGCATGTCGTCTACTTGGTCAGCAATGACGCGGCGTTCTGTAGCAGACACGCGATATGGTCGTTGTCGCAGCGGTGAGTGGGACCCAGTGTCGATGTGGTGTTCTACTGCTAAGGCACGGCCGAGAGATGTTTGTTCAACGTCGAAAGAATGGCGGTAGCACTTAAGAATGATGAGGAGTTGTGAACACTGCGAAGATGTCAAATCTGCAGCGATGAATGGTTGAAATATGTTTGCCGACGTTGAATCTGCCGCTGAGACGACAGCCAGTTCACAGACGGAGTTAGAAGGCACCTCATCGGGGACGGATATAATTCTGGTAGAACTGATTGTCTCAACGTGGCCAAGGCACTCGTGACAAAGTAGGGATAAAGACGACGACTCATGATTATAAATTGGCATCGTGGTTGAGCCTTCTACAAGGTCAAGAGCAGCAAAAGGCAGGGGAGGGCTCTTCGGACGACGAATATTGAAGACGGAGGGAAGAAGACCATGCCGTCGGTTATGCCGCTGCATGAAACTGGCACGAACGCAAAAGAGCATGGAGGAATGTAGGTGTTATCATTAACGACAAGTTTAGTGGCAGACTGGGTGTTGACGGACGCTTGGTCATTCAGTGAGCAAAGTTCAACCTCATCCCTAGCACAGTCAATTACGGCGTTATGATGCGACAAATAGTCCCATCCCAAGATAATAGTATGGGAGCACAATGAAAGAACCATGAACTTTATCATATACAGAACGTCCTGAATTGTCACGTGGGCTGTACATACTGCGGTCGGTTGAACAGGTTGAGCACTGGCTGTGTGAAGCGATAATCCGGAGAAAGGCGTCGTAACCTTACAAATTGAGCGGCAAAATCCAGCACCGATAACAGAAACAGCTGCACCGGTATCTTCAAGAGCAACAGTAGGGATATTTTCGACGAACACATCAATAACATTGGTAGGTGACAAATGAGGACTTGGGAAAACCGAAACTTGCGCAGCTCTTGCCTCGGGAACTGCGTCGTCTAGTTTTCCTCCTCGTTAGACGTGGGCCGTCGACCCATAGGAGAAGGCGAGCGGCGGCATGGAGAGGGCGAGCGAAGACGTCCCGGACGAGGGCGGTGGTCTCCCTGGTAGCGGGCTGGCATTGGAGTGGAGGAACCGTATTGCGCGTTGGAGTCAAGCGGGAAGAAAGGCTCATGGCAGTTTTCATTGGTGATATGCGTCCGGCGGCGGCAATACCTTGCGATGTGTCCGGGGTATGGACAATTGTCGAGGGTGCGCCACGGGATGGTGGTGTTAGTGCTGGTCCAGTGAACTGGAGCTGCGGGATAGCTCGCGCGAGGCTGGAACAAAGGCACAGGCGCCTTGCGAGTTGGCATGACTGCAGCCGCGGCGTAGGTGAGAGGAGCAGCCACAAGATTAGGCTGGCGAGCAGCTGGTAAGGCCTCGGCGACCTCTCCTTGAACAACGCCACGAAGAGACGACGGTAAAGTTGTGGTAGGTTCTGGTGTGAAAGGCACCAAGGAAAGTTGTCGTGCGACTTCTTCGCGGACAAATGCTTTTATTTCGGTTATTAGTGACGCTTGGTCATGACCATTGATCACACTAGACAGTGATGCCAAATCGTGCGCTGGAGGACGTCTTGTCAGAGCTCGCTGCTTCCGCAATTCATCGTAGCTTTGGCACAGGCTAATTACGTCGTTAACAGTGGTCGGGCTTTTCGCCAAGAGCATTTGAAAAGCGTCGTCGTCAATCTCTTTGAGGATGTGCTTACATTTTTCAGCTTCCGTCATTGCGGTGTTCACGCGTCTGCACAAATCGACGACGTCTTCTATGTAACTAATGAAGGTTTCACCCGTTTCTTGCGCGCGTGTGCGTAAATGTTGCTCGGCACGAAGTTTTCGAATGGCAGGTCGATCAAAAATTGCTACAATCGACGTTTTAAATTGCGGCCAAGTTCAGACGTCTGCCTCGTGGTTTTTAAGCCAAAGGCTGGCTACACTCGCAAGGTAGAACAAAACCCGTGTCAACTTGTCCGCGTCCGTCTATCTGTTTAAAGCGCTCACGCGTTCGAAAGTCGAGAGCCAATCTTTAATGTCGTTGTCATCTGTTCCACTGAAGATTGGAGGCTCCCACCGAGGAACACTGCCTGGACAGGTGGCCAGAAGAAATGGAAGCGTCTGCTGATCGGCGTCCGGCATAGCAGACGGTAGCCGTCGAGAACGGAGTTCCAGGATGGTAGTGGGAAGGTATAGGGGACGGTTCCCAGCACCTCCACCAATTATAAAGGAGATTTATTGAGCAGAAAGGTTCTGCGCCGGAGTACTTCCTCTTCTTTACAATATATATATGTATATCCGTTTGATATATCCAGGATAAACTCTGCCTGTCTGTCTGTCTGTCTCTCTCTGTCTGTCTGTCTGCATGCATGTGTGCGCGTGTGTGTGCGCGTGTGTGTGCGTGGGGGGGGGGGGGGGGTCTTACAGACAATAATGCAAGAAAAGTATAGGAAAACGAAAGGTCGCAGGTTCGGTTCCTGTCTACGGGAACTTATCTTTGCATCCACTTTTCTTTTTTCACATTTACATTACTATTATGTCTAACAACTTCTATACTTTCCTTGCATTATTGTCTATTAGATTTCATTAATATTGTGTCAAACAAGAAAAAATAAGCCCTTAAGTATACACTCCCTTCCTTATATATATATATATATATATATATATATATATATATATATCTTGTTGCATGTTTACTAAGAAGGCAAACATTGTACAGTCTCATGTAAAGAATATGTAGCTGTTCAAAGTTAGTCTCACAACTGTGTCATAAAATCACATTTGCCATTTTCTGCTTTTCTTTTGACTACAAATTACTACCTCAACTAAAACTGAAAACACACAAAATAATCAGCAAGTTATCTCTGTATTTTTCACAAAACTCTATACAACATTCATATAAGAACAAAACATGTTCATATTTGTAAACTGCAAAAAGTTTGGGAGAGTTGGCAGTGGTTCCTTGGGGCACTATGATTCAAAAATCGAAAGCACTCCTCCGAGGTCGCTGTCGGCCTTTTCTAACACCACTGTTATGCGAAACACTCTTATAGCACACCCCTCTCTCTCTTTACGATATCATACAAGACAAAGCATGAAATACACAACGAACTATAAACCAGTTTTCACTTCTTAAATACTTTTTCATTTTGTACATTTTCAAAAAACTGATTTGGTTGAGGCTTTAAAAAAAGCAATAAAAATTTTCTTCAGCTTACTTGGAGGTGGGTTGACCTTTGAGACCAGGTATGTAAAAGGCTCAATAAGAGATTTCCTATCAAATGCCGACACTTCAGCAAACCGCACTGAAATAAAGCACAGATGTGAGCATATTTTATTAAAGAATTTGAAGTTTTTTTCATCTCTTATTCTAGCCATGGAGTACATGTCATTCCATGACTACGAATGACTGCTTCAGTGTACCAGAAGCAAAATTACAGTGTTTTTACACAGAAACTTTTTTCAATAAACAATGCATGTTTAAAATATTTGACCTAAAATATACTTGCACATAGCTAATAAGTTACTGGGCATATTACAAAATAAAAAAAAAGACAGGTTCAGCATCTTTTTAAAAGCGTATTGTTACGATTTTTACACATCACAAAAGGAACATTTTTCGTTTCCCTGGGATGCCATGCTATTGCTCTTCACATACTGAACAACTCAGCCAACACATATGCAATGATTTATTTGATTTTATAAAGCTTTAGTCTTTGAGCATCAGCAAGCCAGCCTCATTGCAATGGATATTATCCTGATGAGTCATTGAGGTTGCATAGAGTTTGCGAATACTGCATCTTGCATGAATTCGTCACAGAAATCACTATTGGGGCCGCTGGAGACAATACACTCACCGTAGTTCACATGTACCATGAGCAAATGGCAGATCTGCCGCTAGTACATCGTGAATTGCTATTTCCCCGTGACGTCACTCTGTCATAACACATCATGAAGAGGCCGCCCCCTCTATATCGAAACCGAAAATGTCTTTTTAAGATAGCGATATTAAAAACATACGTGATGCATTCCCAAGCACTATGGTACTCTTTTTAATGTTCTCGAAACCTGTGTTCTTATTTAGAGCAATAATCCCAGAATATTGAAAATTCGTGTCAGTACTACTTTCAGGAGCACACGTGATCGTTCTAGCAAATCAACAATATCTTAAGCATCTTTTTTTTGCTGTCATTTAATACCATAAAAAATGCAAATACGAAATCATACGTCTTCGGTAAAACCAAAGTTGATACAAACTGAACAATAAAAAGCAGAAAAAAGTGAAAGCTGAAGCCTTCAGTGGTAATGAGATGAAAACTAAGCTACGTTTTTACAGCATAACTATTCAGCTTTTTGATAGGTCAGTTTACACTACCAGAAAACTTAAGCAGCTCCTGGCATAGCATAAAAAAAAATCTTGGTTTGGATCAAGAATAGGATCCAAGCCATCTCCGTGGCCCACAGGGCCCCAAAAAAACCCTATCTGTGCGTCATGTACTACAAGGTGCAAAAGGGGGATGAGGGTGGGAAGGGCAGAGACTCCCAAGCAGCTTCGAAGGACCACTGCAATGGCCATTTCTTCTGCATCATCAGTGAAGTTGGTAACTATTGTGACTGTGTTGACAAGTGAGCCATGGCGTCCACCAGGGAGACTGTGTGGGTGCCTCGATTTTAATATCTTGCAGCGTCAACAAAGAGGACTTGCGTTTCGTTGCACATGATCTAGGCAAGTATGGCCTTGGCTCTCGCTTCTCTTCATTTTTCATTGTGGGTCAAGTGTATGTTTCTGGGAATTGAATCAACTGTTATCACTTCATTCATGGCATTTGTGCAAAGTTGGGACTTTTCTGGCGACATGAAGAGGGGCTGAATGCTCGCTTCTAACAAGATCTTGCTGCCCACCCCTGAGAGAGAGTCGACTATTCTGGGCAGGCCACTGTGCCTCAAAAAGTTCGGTAACTATATTGTGCAGGCCCAATTGCAGGAGTCGTTTCATACTAGTGTTGTGAGGGAGGCTCAGGACCATTTTCAATGCTGTTCTAATTGGTGTATCAATTTTGTTGAGCTCAGTCTTCTTCCAATAGAAAAAAGGGGCGGCATATGTTACATAGCTGATGAGAAAGGCATGAAATGCCTCATGAGGCTGTCCTCTTTTAGACCATCCATCCGTCCTGCTGGAAACCTGCGATATGACTCTGGTGAAGTTGAGGGCACTCTAAATATATGAGTGCCTCCATGTTGTTACTGTTGTAAGCCCTAATGACCATGCCCAGGATCTCGATTGTATTACATCTAGGGATACTGCCTCCGTCCCTGGCGTGTAGGGGAGGGAGCTAAGGCGCTGTCTATTCCTGGGGCCGTGTTTGCACAGGAGCTTTGATTTGCTGGAAGATAGCTTCAGCCACGTATTTTGAAGGAACGCTTTTGTGGTGTCCAGGGCATGCTGTAGGTTTTTCTCCAGAGTGCCTAGTACGCTGCTCGCAAACCAGATGCTAATGGATACACACGGGAGAAAGCAGGTTAAATGCCAAGCAGCTCCATCATAGCACAGACATGCTTAATATAGTATAGCAAGGGGGTGGGAAAGGGAAGTTTGGTGTAATAAAGGAGGAAAGCAGATATGCTTATCAGAAAGATGAAAGTAAAAAAAGATGAAGAAAGACATCAATCTTCATTAAAGACGTCAATCTTTATTCACCAGATGGTGGCACTTGTTAGGCCGACAATTTCTCAGGAAGGCTACAATTTTTCAGTTAGGCTTACAGTTTCCTACAATTTCTCAGGAACCCAGCTTCCCTGTTACTTCAGGTTAGGCACTAATAGGGCGAAGCTGCCTCAATTTTTATTATTTGTAACTTGGAATACATTCCAGCAACCAGTACTACCTCCACAATCAGAGAAAAAAAACAGTCATTCCTTATTTCTGGGTTAAGTGTCGACACAGGTTACTAGCAACACTTGTGAAACTATATTTTGCCCACTACCAATAGTAAAAGTATAGTAAAAACAACATCACTGATTGTGTTGCCAGAGTACTAATGCCGAGACAGGGAGTATAAATAGCTGAGGAAAGACTGCATGCTCCATATCCGATTCAACAACGAAGGCTATATGTGTACACAACCTGTTTATCATCATCATCATCACCATCATCATCATCATCATCATCATCATCATCATCATCATCACCCTGACTACATCCACTGCAGGATACAAGCCTCTCCAATGTTCCCCCAGTCAACTCGGTCCTGTGCTTGCTGCTGCTACTTTGCACCCGCATCTCTGGGAATCCAGTCAGTTAACTTTAATGACCGGCAGTTATCCTGCCTGCGCTACATGCCCGGCCCATGTCCATTTCCTCTTCTTAATTTTTATTTCCTCTTCTTGAGAAACCTGGAGGGTTGAGCTTTAATTGAGGATGATGCAGTAAGCGATGGAAAAGAAAATGATGTATGTAACCTTAAAGGGGCCCTGAAACACTTTTTTGAGCTACCATGGAATTATTTCACTGAAAAAGTGCATTGCCTCACAAATTCAACGCCGCAACAATTATAAGAATTCATCCAGTACTAACAGAGTTACCAATATTTGTCACATGCTGCAATCACATTCTCTCTTCTTTCGTCCCGACGAAAGTGCTGGAAGCTAAGCAGGGAAGGATGAGAGGGGCAAACAAAAAACATCACACGTGCCTCGTGACCTTGACCACTTTTTTCTTCGAATACGAAGCCTTTTCAGTGCAATCGTGCGCACACGCGTAGACAATTGACGGCGTCTCAAGGCCATCTCTGTAAAAACCGAGCGCGCCACGTTCAAATCAGCCAATGGCTGACAGATGGGCAATCTCCGTGCGATTTTTGAGCGTCTTCCGTCATTTGTTGAGGGAACAGAAAGCAATTTTTAGCTGACCTTGATAATTTATATTGTGCATTCCGAACCACGTGCTGCGCTATGACATTTGGCTCGCGTGTTCTCGGGAGCCTCTACTACCAATCAGCAGCATTTTCTGACCATGCTCAAAAAGTGTTCCAGGGCCCCTTTAAGAGACAAGAAGAGAGCAGAGTGGATCAGGGAACAAACCGTGGTTAAGGATATTATAGTTAAAACTTGTTTATGTTGGGAGCTATTCTCACAGTGTACACCTTATGGACATGTCCACTTGGGCCTCCACTGATTGGCAGGAGCTCAGTGAGCCGCACGCCGTCAGTTTCCAGTCTTTCTTCGCGCAGCTTTCACGCAGCTTTCACAACTCTCGACACTAATGAGAAAGACCGAACGCGTTCTGCCACAACACATGCTGCTTACAGAGATCTGCTTTTAGACGCATATTACATGGGTCATGCATGAGCTCTAATCGTGTTAGCCGTTGAATTGGGTTTAATGCGGCTGCCTGCCTGATGCCCTAGGAAGGTAGGTACGCATTTCCTGCATCGTTCTTCAAAAATATAAACACGTTCATATGCAAGTTCAGAATTGTCAAGTTTAAGAGTCCTGTTGCTGTACATTTCGTCCACTTTCTTTCTCTCTACGCTGGGGATGTGCTGGCGTGTTTTGTGTTTCGACGTGGTCAAGAGCGCCATGGCGTTACCTTTTCCCCCTTTTTTTTTTTTCCGTAACTGAATGCACTCCGCTGAAAGGGACATGTCCACTTAGTGGACCACGAGAATGGCGCCCCTGGTTGGGTCAACCTGAGACCAAACGAGAGGAAAATACATGGCTCATTAGATAAGCCTTCACCATAGTCAAAATGTCCCGACTTGACCTCAGTGTGCTGTGTATGACTGTTACCAATCACTCTGATGAAGTCACTACAATTTTTGAAAAGTACTAGTTCTCCTTTCGCCAAGTGAATACAACCAAAAACTAATAATGCACACATTTAGATCCTATGATCTCATTCTTTTAATGTCAAAATGGAACATGACTGACTGCAGAATAATTAAACATTTAAAATATTTTAATATAATGACTGAAACTCAGTCATAACCAAATGTTACCCTATTTTCTTTTTTGGAATGTACAATTTAGTTCCTTTGAATTACGCTATGCGAATTTGATTCATCCATACATGGTGCATCATAATTCGCACCTGAAGGGGAAATTGCCTGTTAAGCCAGGCACGCATGCCACAATTCGCAGACACTACAGCATCCTTACACAGACTTTAGTTTTACTAGTTCAAATAAGAACAGGAGGCTCACCAGAAAGGAAACACAACAATATGATGACAGTGGCGTGAAATAGATATTAGTTATGACGTTGCTGTAAAGAAATTTATCATAAATAAATAGTTCTTAGATTCAGA